GTGTGTGTGTGTGTGTGTGTGTGTGTGTGTGTGTGTGTGTGTGTGTGTGTGTGTGTGTGTGTGTGTGTGTGTGTGTGTTAAGCGGCATATATTCTGCATTTCTTCTGAAGAAAGTCTGATCTTATTGATCTAGTGTTTTATGACCATGAAGGCCCATGAAGGCCAACGCGGCCTTTTCCACCTACTGCTCTAGGTGGAAGGAGAGTTGCTGCAGAAGTTCACCAGCGGCCACCATTTTCACTCAGCTTAAAGTTTTCACCTTGCCAGTCTCACCAGTGCATCGGGCATCTGCGTTTCAGTTTCATGAGTCCCAGCCTTTGCAGAAGGGGTATTTGACCTGCCGCCTCTGCTGTCTCCAGTGCTCCTGTAAGGTGATTTGCTACCACCAGTACCCACTTCTTTATGTGCCTACATTCTTGTTGAGCCTCGAGGTCTAAATGTCAGTTACATCCTCTTGAGGGTCTTCTAGCTCTGCACTGTGGCGACTTGGCAGGCAGCCTGCTCTAGGCCTGGAGTTGGACTGATGCCACCTTCAAGGTCCGAGGGTGGCAGGGGGGTCTCAGACAGCGCCCTTCTCCAGAGGTGGAGCAAGAGGTTGCAGGGTGGTTTGGTTAGCAGAGCACAGGGAACCCCAGTCCCCTCCCTGTAAGGGACACGTGCGTGTGCACGTGTGCTTCTGTCTCCTCCCGAGGCCTGGGTACATACGGGACTCAAGACTTGGTTTGTGTGAGGTTGCTTTCTGTTTCAAACTGCACATTCTCCCAAGAAGGGGACTACACAAAGCCACCAGTGCCTTCACTTGAATTATTAACAAGAGCATTTTCCTCCTGGAGGGGCCTGCGAGGCAGCTTGATGTAGAATAACGGTGGTCAGACCTTTTGGTCTCAGGGCCCCTTTACACTCTTAGAAATCAAAGACCAAAAGAGCTTTCTTTGATTTGTGGGTTGTATCAATATTTATCGTATTGCAAATTAAACTGAGAAATTTAAAAAGTATTCTTTAATAACAACTTTAATAAATACAGTTATATGCAAACAGTAACATTTTTAGCGGAAAATAACTTTTCAAAAAAATTATGGCTTTATTCAATATGTTTTGCAAATCTCCTTGATTTCTGGCTAAATAGAAGACAGGCTGGATTCTCTCAATTGCTTTTGCATTTCAGTCTGTTATCATGTGTTGTTTTGGTGAATATATATGAAGTAAAACCACCTTTACCACAGATATGTACTGGAAAAGGAAAGGGTATTTTTAATAGCCTTTTCAGATAATTATAGACATTATTCTTTGATACTATACCAAAACTTGACAAGTGACACTTGCTTAAAGTTTAATACAGTGTAGAATCTGACACCCTGTCAGTGAACCGTTTGAACTTTGTTTCACTAAAATGCATTGGTTTCTCTTACACTTGATGGCTTTGGTAATATTATGCTAGCTGAGTTATACAGATCTTCCAACTGTTGACATCTCATTATACAGTATCAAAAAAGTACATTCGTTACTATTCCCACTGATCTCGTTGGAAAAGTCCTTAAATCTTCAGGAAACTGTGAAGCTCTTGGTGGCAGAAGGAGGTTTTCCAATGTTCTAACTTTTGTTTGAATGCCTGGTTTTTGTCACCGGCAACAACTGTAAGTTGTTTTCCTTAAAGTGACAGGCTCACTTCATTCATTTTTCAGGAAAGTATCTGCTGTATACCCAGGTGTGAATAACCATAGTTTTTCTGTCGGTTGTTCTTTCAAGTAAAAGGTTCCATGAGAAAGCGTCCAGTTGAGCTCACAACCCAAACAGTTGCACAGGTGCTTTTCCCAAGGCAGCAGAAATGCTTGATGTGTACTTGTCATTTCATTGTACAGAGTGCTAAGATGCATTGTCAAGGGTTGGAATTTAGTAAAGTCTGCACTCAGGCACTAGCAGTTTCACCCACCGTTGTTTTTGTGCCGATCATCACTTCGAATGTCAGGGCAGTGGAAAAAGCATGTAACATGTAACGTCTTGGTATTATGAGCAGTTTTGATTTTATGGACCGCCTGAGGGGTGGGTCTCGGGGTCTGGGAGTAACACTTCGAGAACCTGTGGTGTGGAAGTTGGACTGTGGACACAAAGCCAATGTGGAGCTCTGGTTCCATCAGTTAATACGCTGTCCATGGGACCCGACGGAGGCCACTTAGCCTTTCCAAGCCCTGTCTTCTCATCTAGAACATAAAGACATGGCCATCTTTATGATTGTTGTGAGGACTGATGGGAGAACTAAGGAAAATATTCCTTCTTTGGTGCCTAGTCTGTACTAGGCCCTAGTAAAAGTTATTTTCCTTTTTTGGGACATTGCGAAGGCATTGGGGATGGGAGTGTGGGGCGAGGTAGAGAGAAAAAGGAAGGGTCAGTTTGCTTTAGAACGTGCCTGCAACCCAAGCCCTTCTTTCTGGCTTATACCTCCTGGAGGAAGGGGGCGAAGAGTGGAAAGGGAACAGCAGGCCTTCCTGGGGCTCTTTATGTGGGGTTGTCTTAGGGTCTCTGGACCCATCCATTCTCTGTGTGTGATCCAGTGTCACTGGAGCTAAAGAGCCAACTTCTCTGAAAATTAACCGTGTCTTCTGATTGTTCTCATCTCCTGGGCATTGGGCTCGTTACAGATAAGACGGAGGGGGGTGTTTGTATTTCTCTTCCTCATCATGGGTGGTTCTGTAAGATACGTGATGGTGGGTCTGCGGTGCGTGCAGGATGTGACCCCGTCGCGAATTGGAGTGTCCATTGTGGCTGAAGGGGTGCTGACTGCACGTGGCTCCTGGTCGAAGTTTTGCTGCTTCCCAGCACAGTGACCTTGAGCAGGTCCCTTCACTTTGTCGAGTCCCTTCACTTTGTTGAGTCCCTTCACGATTCCTTTATAAGCTAGGGCTTAGGGTAGGTGCCCTGTATCTGCTGCAGGGGGCGGTTGATTGTGAGGCTTTAAGCACCTGGGAAGTTCTAAGTGGTGTTCAAGGGCAAGAGAACACTGACGAGTGCCCAGCAGCAGAGGTGCTGGTGGAGAAGGACAGGACCTGCACTGTCAGAGGACAGAGAGCCAGCCCCTCGTGGTGGCCACGAGCATTGGCTTTCCAGTCAGACCACCTGCGTTGGGGTGTCCACTCCTCCACGGTGTGACCTTGGGCAGGTTAGCCAACCTTTCTGCACTTCAGTTTTTTCATCTGAAAAACAGCCATCAAAATAACTTCCACAACATTACCTGCCTTTGAGGTAAGGATAAAGCTGAAGTGCAGAGCTGAGCTTCTGGCCCAAGGGAGACGCTCAGTCCCGGGGAGCTCTTATCAAGGTCAGGGCTACAGCGGGCTTTTCCTGTGTATGGAAAAGTTAGTTTTCAGGGAACTTAGTGAGATGTGTGGTTTAGTCAAAGGCTTGTAGCAAAACCTGTATTTGAAAGCAGCTGTCATTTAATGGGGTAGGGTGGTAGGTCCTAGGGCAGCCATTCAGAACGGGACGGCACCTCGCTCAGCGCAGTGGGTGTGCTCAGTCAAGGGAGCCCTTATGTGAGACTCCCCTAGGTGCTTAGGGAGAAAAAGGGTGTAAGCTGGTAGTGCTTCTCCATGCCCTGAGGGTGCTGGTTCTGAAAATTCTCTAACATTCTTGGCAAAATTGCATTTGAAGCATTACTTTGATGACCTTGACGTGGGAAATAGGACAGAGAGAAGCTAAAACAGTTCCTTAGATGTCTTGGATTACTCTGTTTTAGTTCCTGAAGAGATCATTTGCATGTGGCTTCTTGAGCAAAACAGGCACAGGTGTTTCTACCTGGTTGACCTGGATGTAAGGCCCGTAGCAGATGTTTGGTCAGGTGTGCCCTCGCGGCAGATCAGTGGGCTGGGAATCAGAAGGCCTGGGTCCTGAGCCCCAGTCCTGGCTCTGCCACTACCTGCAGGTGGACCTTGGGGAAGCCCCTTCAGTTTCCTGGACCTCAGGTTTGAGACCTGGTCATCCTGACCTGCTCGCTTCACCTGGGGCTTCTGAAGGCTCAGATAGAGAGTTCTGGTAAACTGCTTTACAACCAAACTACAAGTAATTAACGTAACAAATGGCTGCTGGTAACCAAGCTCTGACCCTCCTAATGAAATATTTTCTTTCTCAGTGATGTTACAGCCTTTCGATTATGATCCCAATGAGAAAAGTAAACACAAGTTTATGGTTCAGTCTATGTTTGCTCCAACTGACACTTCTGATATGGAAGCAGTAGTAAGTACTGAATGCTTCTTATTTTTTTCAGTAATTAAAAGAAATGATTAGGTGCAGAATTGTGGGTGCATGCATTTCAAAATGTGTCAAAATTGATTTTAAAGGGGAATGGTGCCTTCAAGGAGGTTTGTGCTTTGACTGCCTTTATGGTTTTTCTAAAACTTTGATTTTAACATTTCATGTAACTTTTTAGAACACTCTTCTTTTCTGACTTTTATATCTGGTTGCCTTCAGCAGCTCCTTCTTCCGGTGGATTGTGTCTTGAATGGTCTGGGGATTCTCTCCCTTCACCCCCCTCCCATTCCCCCCACAGAAAAGGACAGTTTTCACTATAGAGAACCTTCCTACCACATCTTCCCCATCTTCCAGAACCCAGAGGGATGGGAGAGAGTTGAATACTAAATATTCTTCAACCCTTTAGGCATTTTTTTTTTTCATGCTTGGTTCTGGTAAGCATGATTCTGGGTTTTTTGTTGTTGTTTTTTTTTTCCCTAAGTTTCCTTCATTTTTTTTTCCCCCCTGCTTAAATACATGTTTAACTCTGTCTCTTAATTTTGGTAAAAATAAGATGACTTCATCTTCATAAAATAAATAATTGATATATTACAGTTGGCCCTTCATTTCTGTGGGTTCTGCATCTGTGGATATGGGCCAGCGGTCCTAGCATTTTATGTGAGGGACTTGAGATTTTGGTAGCCGTGGGGGCGGGGCCCTGCAATCAATCCCTCATGTTGATTTTTCTAGAAGAAGATTATAATGGCAGTTCTTCCCCAAGGTTTCCCTTGAATAAATCAGCAGGCATCCTGGTGCTGTGAGTGTGTATCACAATATACGGATAAACCTTAAAAAAATCCACAGCACCAGTGAGGACAGACGGTGTAGCCCTCACAGTTTGGGAAAGAAGGGCAGGACTGCCGCAGCGTTTTCACCGCTTTGCAGTTCGCCAACTGAAACTAAGAGACTGAAGGCATCCGAGGAATGGCTGCCGATTTGAGTTAGCTGGGACGCACACTGTACCGCTGCTTCTCTTTCACAGTTGACACTAGGTGCTGTTTCCACGCACAGCCCACCTTCGTGTCCCCGTGCCGCCACACAGCTGCTGCTTTTCATCTCGGAAAAGCATAACCGACCACCTTCACGCATGTTTAACTTCTGGGTAGGAAATGAAGGGTAAGCTAGATATTTGGGGGTTTCAGAGAGATCAGGGAGAGTAGGCTTCCTTTAAGATTCCTTCGAAGAGGAATGACTGTTGAGACATTCACTACTTTTATTTCCTGGAACATGATGTGTCACTTCATGTTACTTTGTGTGATCAAGGAAATGTATGGCAAATGCAGAATGTGGAATATCCAAGAATATATTCTGTTTGGCTTCTGCTGCATGGCTTGATGAGAAGAGCATGGGCTTGGGTGCCTTGGGTGTGAAGCTGAGTTCTGCCTCTTACTAACATTGTGGCCTTGGGCGATGTTCATTAACTCTCTTGAGGGTTTGGTCACGTGTAAAATGGGGATGAAAACCTAGCTCACGTGGCTGTGGTGGGATTAAATGTGCTGTGTATGTAGAACTTGGCATAGTGTCTGGCATCTGGCAGCTGTCTGAGCACTCTTACAGGCCAGGCACTCTATGTACAATAAAGGTGAATTTTGCTTCCATGATAACTTTTATAACAGTTAAAATTTTTTTATATGAAATGTACATTGTTGGAAATTTTGGAAATATATACAAATGAGCAAAAATAAAACTAAGGGACCTGTAATTTGTTTATACTAAACCCAACCACTGTTAATGAGAGCCTTGTGCTTTTTCTTTACTTTAAAATATTTTTCTTTATATTGTGATGTACAGAAAGTTGAAAAAATAGTAGCGCCTACTCATCTAACCTTTACTAAGATGCACCGTTTAACATTTTGCCACGTTTGCTTCGTTGCTGTCATAAACTTCCTTTTTTGCTGAACTGCTTGACTGTAAGACACAGACTTCATGACCCTTCACCACCTAACTGCTTCAGACAAGGCCAGTCTCTTACATAGCCACAGTCCCATTGTCACAGCTAAGAAGCTTGACATTAATTCAGTAATGTTTGACAGAGAAACCCATACCCGTAGTCACCATTTTCCAGTTGTTCCAAAAATGGCCTTTAGTTTTTCTTCTCCTAGAGCACCCTCACCCTTTTTACAGTCCAGGCCAGTTGACTTGCAGAATGTCCCACATTCTGGATTTGTCCAATTATTTCCTCATGATTAAATTCAGGTTAAATGTTTTTGTTTTCTTTTTTTTTTATTTTGGCAAGAATATTCCCTAGGTGGTGTCATGTGTGATGCATCATATCAGAAGGCATTTAATGCCGTGTTGTCCCTCTTTCGGTGACACTAAGTTTGATTACTTGGTTAACATGGTGCATGCCAACTCTCCCCAGTGTCAAAGCACATTTTCCCCTTGTGGTTAATAGGTAATCTGTGATATTCAGAGTAATCAGATACTTGGAGACCACATGAACATCCTGCTTGCCGGCGAGCAGTCTTTCACTTGGTGATTTTTGGCGCCCAGAGATGATCCTTGCCCGATGTTCTTTTGACACACGCACGCAGGCACACGTACACTCTGTGTGTGTGTGTGCGCGCGTGCGCGTGCAGAGGAACAGACTTAAAATATTGCTTGTAGTTTCTTCACTTAACATCCTGCGAATTTTCCCCATGCGATTAAACACTCCTCAGTATCCCTTGAATGGCATGCTATTCCATTGACTGTACCTGCCATGGTTTATTTGGTGGTTCCCTATTGTTCAACACAAAGATTATTTCCCATTTTTGGCTCTTGGTACTGTGTTGCTCTCGCTGCCTCCTGCATGGTTCTGGGGTGAGGGTGGGGGAGTTCGTTCCTTTTTCTGTATTGCAGCCTTCCTGCTATGCTGGTCTGTAATGATCAGAACACCTGGGATTCCTGTCCTCCACTGCCAAGAGGAGGAGGAGTAAGCCAGAAGTGCATCGTCCCAGGACATGGATTTAGGAAGTCAGGAAGATGTTACTACCAGCACACTGAGGCAGTGGGGGTCAGCCCAGACAGCGGCGATCACAGGGAGTGGCCTGCCAGTTCTTGTGCCCTGTTGGTAGTTGGCAGTGTTCTAAAACCACTCCCAGATAGCGCATGCTTACTCTCTCTTAAGAAGGACGTGCCCTGCGAAGTAAGTTGTGTTTTCTTAAGGAGAGCCCAGATGTCCTTAGGCCATCCAGTTGCAGTTTAGAAGATTCCTCTTGGGTCAGCGGTGGTCTTCTCTGTCCCGTGTGCTTCCCGCAGACTGGCGACAGGAGGAGCGCTGGTGGGCTCTGAGGGGTCCGGCAGCAAGACTGGGGTCTGTGAAGAAGAGTATATATTCAGGAGAGCTAGTGCGTTTAATCTTGTCATGTTAAAAGTATTGAAATCTCAGCAGACTTAAGTGCTTTATTTGATATACGTCAGGGCTTTCTCATTAAGAGTATTTTTCTGAAATTGTCAGTTATAGGAAGAAAATTATTCTTCCAGCAGCTTTATAATATCCTGATTATTAAATTTAAATTGTTTTAGTGGAAGGAGGCAAAACCGGAAGACCTTATGGATTCAAAACTTAGATGTGTGTTTGAATTGCCAGCAGAAAATGATAAACCAGTAAGTATGTTTCTAGTTAACGGTAATTGATGTTGCAAGCTGATGCTTATTTGCATACCGTCTCCCGCAAAACCAAGATTTAAGTTGGCAAATTATCTTCCTTCTTCTGATGCATGAAGAAAAAAATAAGCTGAAGTTAACAAGTAAGTGGGCCTTCATGACATCTGCCTTTGAGAGACTTGCAGAAAGACAGCTAATTGAAACATTTTTTCCCTTCGAAAAGTGCAGCCTGTTGGCTGTTGAAATGTCATAAATTCCGAAGAGCTTCTGTGACTTGGCACAGTTATAGGTTGCTATTTCACGGTGGGTAAGACCAAAACGGAATAATTTGCCGTTTATCGTGGTGCTTGGTGGACAGGTGGCGGTGAGCTCTGAGGTTCTGTTGTTTTGCAGAGTGCCGCCTGTAGGCTTCCCCGTCTACACTTTCCCTCAGCACCACCTCTCTACCCCTTGAACCCCACCCACCTCTTCAGTCAAAATATGCTTTTAGATTAGGATTTCTCAACCTCAGCACTATTAACACTTGGGCTGGATAATTCTTTGCCGTGGGGGCAGTCCTGTGCCTTGCAGGATGTGTAGCGGTATCCTTGACCTCTGCCCACTAGGTACCAGTAGCACCCCCTAGTTGTGACAACCAAAAATGTCTCTGGATATCGCCAAATGTGCCTTTGCTGGGGCAGAATGATTCCCTGTTGAGAATCGCCCCCTTTGCTTTCCGAGCGGGTGAGGGCAAGGAGCGACTTCCTCCAGGCTGTCAGCTCTCTTTTCTCTGTGTGAAACCCAAGAGATAAGCCTGTCGTGGCCCTGGCTTGTGACCAGTTGGAGAGAGAAGATTGTGTCAGTAATGCTAATGTGGACCTCCCTTCAACCTAGTCAAAAAACTTATAATAAATTGTATTAAAAACACAGTTTAAAACACATGTAGAACATTCAACCACCCTGGCTGTTAACAGCTGGAGGTGGGAAATAGAAATGCTCACCTTCTCAACGTTATCCATAGCCGTCTCCAGGAATGCTGATGCTTCGTGTCAAAACCACGTAGCATTTTCTTTCTGCTCAATAATTGACCACTGTCGCTATCCTGTTGGTTTGAATGGCACTGGTCTTTTTTTCTTTTTTTCCTTCCCTTCCCATTCCAGTCCTGGGAAGGTCAGTTGTGGACGCTGTGAGATCTGTATTCTGGCCCTAGCTCTGTGCTAGGTGATTAGCTCTGTAAGCTGGGGCCTTGCCTTTCAGGGCCTCACTCTTCTCACTTGGGAGAGACGATGGGTAGAGCTCCTAGTTTTCAGTTTGCCGCATGGAGCCCCCAGGGCAACGATCCCCAGTTATTTTATTTTCCCGACACACCTGAGTGCTTCCATGCCCTCCCCCCACTTACTGATTCATCCCCAGCCGGTCTCCAGAGTGTGTCACAGCACAGTCTTGGCCGAGGAAATGGAGGAATGTGGTGCTTCCCCAGACTGAAATATTGTAGACAGTGAGTTTACTGCACCTTCGTTCCATCTTCATGAAATAAATCGCCCTCTGTGTTATGTCCCCGCTGGCCTTCTTCCGAGACCCCCACTCAGCCAGCCCTGGGGGTGTTCAGACCTTCGTGGTGACGGGAATTTGTGGATGATAATTCCTAAGCTTGCACGGTTACAGTGTGCTAATTTCTGCACGGCAGGCATTTGATAGTGCAGTATGCACGGCCCCTTCTCTCTTCCTTTGAAGTGCTAGTCTCAGCCGAACTGCATTGTTTGCCCTCATCCATAATTTCTGGAGCGCAGTCGCTTCAGATTATTAAGACACTAGATGAAGTGATCCATACTAAAAGTAAATGCGACATTTTACAGTGTGGATGAAACGCCACCACGTGTGGTGTTTGCTGAGAACTACTTTACTTTGCATTAAAAAGTCCATTATTACATAGTTGGTGACACTTGGGCTTTCATTTATTTCTGAACAGCATGATGTAGAAATAAATAAAATTGTATCCACAACTGCATCAAAGACAGAAACACCAACAGTGTCTAAAGCTCTGAGTTCTTCTTTGGATGACACTGAAGTTAAGAAGGTGATGGAAGAATGTAAGCGGCTGCAGAGTGAAGTTCAGAGGCTGCGGGAAGAGAACAAGCAGTTCAAGGTAACAGCGTTTTATTTTCTGATCATGCGCAGGCAGCAGGGGCTTTTTCGCTGTGATCTTGGGTGGGGAAGTTGACGGACCCCTGAGTTTGTAGAGTTGTTTTATATTTGCACAATATAAACTCTTGTCACCTCGTATAAAAGCAACAAACAAACGATCCATTAGTGTAAATTGAAATTCAGTTCTGAGACTAAAAATAAAACAGCAATGGTTATCTTGAATTCACATGTTCAAACCCCACTCCATCCCCACTGGATGAGAATCTTTTTTAAGTGGGTAAATACTGACCTGTATTCTGTTTTAACACAGGCATAATTCTGTTTCATGAGGATCCTAAACAGGTCTAGGCAGTAGGGTCTCATCCTGCTGTTAACGCGGTGAGGAGACTGGAGATGGGAAGCTGTCGCCGTACATGGGTGGAAATTACAGGGAACCAGAGTCTCCAGCTTGTGGCCACTGACCCGGCGGTTGGCATTGGAGGGAAGCAGGTGCACTTCGCTTGGTCTTGGAGGCCTGCGGTGTTGTGGAAATGACCAGCCAAACTTGGGCTCGCTGTGAATCTTTTTTAGTCACGGCGGCTCCCAGGCCTCTGTTCGCAAAACCCCTTTAAGGCCCCTTCCAGTGTTAAAAGTATGTCTGTTTCATACGCAGTATTAAAGAGAGCATTTCTGAACGTCTGATCATAGGGTCTTTCGTTGCAGCTTAAATCTCGAGGCCGATCTGTTCTCTGCATCGTGATCATGTCCCCCAACCACATGATAGGCTTTTTCACTCGTTCACTGCATAGCACCAGGTACACGTCATAAATTCGTGGCAGTTGACTTTTCCTTCTCTTATTCTAGCAAGGTAGTAGATACAGGAGGGCTGACGGAGTTTGGGAAATGGCATCATCTTCTTTCTTGGCAGTAATCTTGATTTGACTTCTTTTAGTAAGGAGTAAATTATGAAGCTGACACGCTACTTTTTGGCTAAAAATCTAAGATACGCCTGGAGGTTCTCCTTGAATGTATTGCTCTTCAGAAACAGACTTCTGTGCCATTTAAAGTGATAAATAGGTAGAAGTAGCTTCTATATAAACCCAACAAAATAAATGCTGTATTGCTGTGCCCATTTTTTTTTTTTAAAGTTAATCGAATAGCACCAGTCATTTATCTCTGTGCAGTCGTATTGGCCATGCCCCACGAGCAGAGTGTCTTTTAAAATATTATCAGACGAATCTTGACATTAGAAGATTCTTTATCTTGCCAAACACTGATTTCTTGTTTTGTGTTGTTTCATCCTGTCATTTGGCCAGCACATTTCCTAAGGTCCTACCTTGTACCCCCCGCTCTGTGGATACAGACACGGGCAGTCCCTGCCCTTAAGATAAGCTCCCTGTTAACCAGGGTAGCCGGGGAGGCCCCGACACGAATACTGATAACGAGTGTGATGAGTGGTGCCGCCGAGATGGCCATGAGTGTCCCGGAAAGTCTGCTCGATGGGTTGGATGCCTCTTGTCTTCAAGACCTGCTAGGCACTTGGTGAACGTGAATGGACTGAAGGGGAAGAAGAGAACGTGCAGCTGCTGTGTGGGCGTCAGGGATGAGTCGAGGGGTAACTAGCCGGGGTAGGAAAACCTTGGTGTGCGCCCCGTTTGGGGACGTGGAGAAAGCAAAAGTTTCTGTTCGTACAGGCCTGTGTGTGCGGGGGAGAATGGCCAAGTTATCTTCACGTGTATGAGAAAGAGAGTCATTTCTTTGGTGGGAATTCCATGCGTTAAGTAGGAAATACTTGAGATGCATGTATCAAGCTCATTTTACTATTACACACATCACAGTTTTGATCCAGCAGTCTGCCTGTAACTCATCAGATATCAACTATATACAGAGCTCTACCTTTGAAAGCTTCCAGGTCCCCCACTTGGTCGTTTCTTGTGATTCTTTTCTCTGAAGAGTTTTTTTCTGTAAATCATGGGGAACCAGGGAGTCCCCTGCTTAGATGTGTGGTATAAAAAGTACCCAGCAGCATTGTGTAGGATGGATGGGAGAAAAGAGGGGCTCCTGGCAGTATTTTTGTGGTGGCCTCAAGACAGTCTCTTCTTCCGCGTAGGCTTGTTTCTCCATTTGCAAAACGAGGAGGTTGGACCTCATCATGTGATGGAGTCTGGGCATCACCCCCCCCCCCCGCCGCGTCCCCCAAGCTGTACAGTTGACTGCTGCTCCGGTGCCTTGGACTGTCTTTGAAACGTGTGTTTGCTCCCGTAGGAAGAAGATGGACTTCGGATGAGGAAGGCAGCGCAGAGCAACAGCCCCGTTCCCGTGTTAGCTGCGGCTGGGAAGGAGGAGGGCCTCAGCACCCGGCTACTCGCGCTGGTGGTTTTGTTCTTTATCGTCGGTGTAATCATAGGGAAGGTCGCCTTGTAGAGGCAGCAGGCAAAGGATGGTAAATTGGATTGATGGCTCCGCCATATCATGGGATTTAAATGTATCATAACCGCGTGTAAAAAGAAGTTAATGTATGATGACATCTCACAGGTCTTGCCTTTAAATTACCCCTCCCTGCGCGTGTGTGCTGCCGCACGCGTGCACACACACACATAGAACATAAAATAACAATCTTTTAGAAAGTTTAACACGTATAGTAAATGATCGGGGGAAAAGAATGATCCTTATTAATGACAAGGGAAACCATGATTAAATGAGACTGGCATGTTGTACATGTCATTTTAAACACTTGTAGCCTTGGTCCATGTTGCTAGTCACCTCTCTTCCAACACGACACTCTTCCTTGCCTGTTGGTGCTGGCGCTCGGGGAGCTGGAGCCCAGCGCGGTGGAGAGCGCATCCCCCCCCAGGGCGTCCTCCCCGCACTGCTCGCTCCCTCCGGGCTGCTCCTCCATGTCTGCCCCTGCCAGGGACTGATGGACAGAGTCTGAGGCCGAGAAGAACGGCGCTGTGGCAGCATCAGCTATGCTGGGAGGTGTATGTTGCCCGAGTGACCCAATACTCTGGAAATAGAAGTCAGTGAAGGCTTTGTTCTCTTAAAGGGACCAAGCTAGATAACCATTGGTTCATGTCATGAGATTGAATTGTTATTCAGAGATGTTTAATGCATATTTAACTTATTTAATGTATTTCATCTCATGTTTTCTTGTCACAAGATTATAATTAACTCTGTGGCCTAAAATCACCTGTGCTACCTAACTCTGCTGGGTGAAGCTGGCAATTGCTGCTGGAGGTTCTGGGCCGTACACACACATTGGAACGTTGGAAAACAGCTGCCGAGAAGTGGTTTTCTGTGCAAATAAATAACGACTCTCATAGGGAGGGAAGTGCTTAGTAGTGGCAGTCAACTCTAGGTTACGCTTTCTGTGGGGAAGGGTAGCCGATCTCTGTACTGTTCTTTCTTTCTCCACTCCTCAGCCACCACTCACGCTTCAGCACACGTGCCCCAGTGTGGCCCTGACCTTCCCCGTGTGGCCCTAGCTGGGGATCAGGGCATGTGAGTCAGGCAGCAGAGGGGTGAGCAGAGAGGAAACCGGCTCGGTGGGGTTGGGAGGGGGTGGGAGAGAAACGTCAGATAATCCATCAAGTAGTGACTGAGAGTTTGTGAATTAATTTTATGCCATAAAAGACCAATCCAATTCTGTTTGACTATGTAGCATCTTTAAAAGAAAAAAAAATTAAAATAAAGCCCCCAAATTAAGAGTTCTTTTGTCATTTTGTCACTTGTGCTAAATGGCGGGGGGAGGGAGACATTATTTTTATCATTATTATTTTGTCATTGGAAGGTTGATTTTAAAAATGAACCCTATCGATGAGAAATAACATGTTTACTGTACATTCTGAGAACTCGCGGTAAATGTTGAACAGACCTCGTTCTCCACCACACACCCATGGCGTGAAGCTATGGAAGGCCGGCTGCCCGGTTATAAATTAGTCTCCAGTCTCTATTCCGTGTGGACCCAGGTACTTAGGAAAAGGAGTGAGAAGACTGAGCTGGGAAGCATGTGCTTCCTGCTGTTTTCTCCAAGTGGAGTAAAACCTATCTGAGTGTAGGAGTTGCAACGAATTACTCTTCATGTGGCTTCTAATACCTCATGACCTTGAAAGGAGAGTGATTGGGGGGGGGTGCCTCAAATAGTGCCTGGGGGTGCAGTACAGTCCCATTCCTCTAGAGCAGGAGTTGGTAAACATTTTCTTAAAGGGTGTTGCCGTGTGTGCCATTAAAACTTTATTCACAAGAACAGCTGCTGGGATTTGGCCCGTGAGACTGGAGTTTGCTGGCGCCTGTAGTCGAGTGACCAAGTTCTCAAAAAGAGTACCTGGGACACTTGTGTTTTAGGTCTTTGGAAGTGACTAAGTGTTTCGTGTGCATCTAGAAGGAATTCAGCTTCTCCAAGGATGGTGGCATTGTGTGTGTGTAGCTAAAAATCAAAATCTAAAATCCAAAGTTGTCTCTTAAAACTAATGACCCTGTGAAACCTCTTTCTGCTTTAGGGGCCAGGACTTGGTGAGCAGCTGTTGAGCTTTTTGACTGAGTGGAAAAAGGGAACATCTCCCCCCCACCCCAGGGAGAGGAGGAGGGTGGTGACGGGCAGAGTGGACACCATGCCAGTGACCCTGGTCGGTGAAGTGTGTGTCAGGGAGGAGAACGTGTGTGGAGCAGGCACCGCTCTGGTTCAGGGACCATTTTAAGAGCCACAGACACTCAAGATCTCGAACCTGGAGAAGCACGCACTTTTTTTTTTTTTTAATTTTTGAACGTTTTGGGTTTTCGTTGCTGCGCGCGGGCTTTTTGTAGTTGCGGCGAGCAGGGGCTACTCTTCGTTGTGGTGTATGTGCTGCTTCTCATTGCTGTGGCTTCTCTAGTTGCAGAGCATGGGCTCTAGGCACGCGGGCTTCAGTAGTTAATGGCTCGTGGGCTCAGTAGTTGTGGCGCAGGGGTTTAGTTGCTCCGTGGCATGTGGGATCTTCCCGGACCAGGGCTCGAACCCGTGTCCCCTGCATTGGCAGGCGGATTCTTAATCACTGCGCCACCAGGGAAGTCCCAAGCATGCACATTTTGGGTGTCTTTTCTGGAAAATGAGAGTAAAGCAGGTAGATGGATGTGCGGTCCTGCCCCGTGGTCTGTTCTGTCCTGAGAGGGTGAGAGTCAAGTCACTGGAATAAACTGGCTTAGAGGGAGCCAGGCTGAAGCTGGTTAGGGTGCTGGCCGGGAAGGGAGCCTGGGCGGGCGCAGTCAGGCTGCTCCGGTGCCTGCTGCCCTGGTTACTGGCTCACGGCACCTCTGAGAGTGGTGCCCTTGTTTTAGAAATACCCGCCACCGGGCTCGCAGATACGGGAGAGATGCAAGCAGTAACAGAGTCCTGTAAATTTTTATTGATTGAATTTAAAAATTGGTAATTCAAGCTCCCTCGGCACCTTACAAAATACCTGAAAGACCAGCAGGCTATGTTATTTGTAGGTATGAGGACCCGGCTTTCATTTTTTTCTCCTCCTAGTTTGCATGTTTTCCTTCTCTAGTCTTCTAAACTGCTGGCACCAGTGCTAATAAATACTGATAAAATCAAAATTGATTTTTACCAGTGGACAGCTGATGCCTAGAGAGACGGCTTATACCTACATAACACAGAAGGGGGAAAAATGAAGAACCTCCAGTGATCCGTGAAAACCTAAAAGCTTTCAAAGAAATCCCAGGAACAGAATTGCTATCGGAAGATACCAGTACTGGACTTGCAGGCTGTGTCGAGTCATATATAACTGAATGAGGTGATAGCTCAGAGCTAAATAGCCGTTCAAATTAATTTGAAAACAAGCTGTGTGTGTGTGTATATATATATATAGCATATGTACCATATGTAAGTAGCTTAACATTTTTCAAATGGTGCCTGTATTTTTTGCACACAAAAATCTTTATATTTGCAAACTCAGAATCCACACCAAAATAGAATGCCTTTTGTCATCTTCAGCTCCTTCTCCAAAGAACTGGCCCAATTACAAGCTTCTGGTTGTGGGTTGTTTGTGAAATTCTTGATTAAAAGAAAATTAAAAAAACGAGCAAGGTGGGACTTGGGCTTGGAAGTCACCTTGAACGCTTGAGTAACGTTTAACCTCCGAGACCTTGGCAGGTGGAGAGGGCGCTGCTCCCCCTGCTGGTGATGGCCGTTCACTGACTCGCGTCTCGCTGGGGCCCTGGGGCGGGAGCGGCCTCTTCCTGTTGAGACAGTCGGGCTAGAGGAGGAGGAGCTTTAAGTAATACATGGAATTAACAGAGTTCCCACTCTGAGGAGGCCTGGCTCAGTGAAGCTTGGGCCGAGGTTGCTGCTGCCGAGAGATGAGCGGGAATGGGGTCGTATTTAGAAAGGCCCCTGCACGGTAGACGGAAGACTCCAGCTCAGGGCACGCAGATCCGATAAGACCCGAAAGGGCGGCTTGGGACCACGTGTGCCCCACGAGAAGCGGGGTCCCTCAGGGTTCCTGGCCCGATTGGGTTTGGAGAAAACTTATTAGTCTTTTTAAAAGCCTTCCTCAGCCAGAGCTGCTTTGACAATAACCTCTTAGAGAAAGTCGCTGTTGTTAGGACGCCCTCCCACCCCGTGCAGAGCATCCGATAGGTTCACTCACTGGCTTAGTGCTCACGACGACTGTGATGGGGATGGGGGCGTGAGGGCTCTAGTTTTGCACGTGAGGAAATGAAGCCTCCGGGAGGTTAAACGGGGCGGCTTTTTAGAACCTCTCGTTTGGAATGAAGTCAGTCTCTGGGAAGCCTGCTGCGAGGGCCTAAACCGCCAAGACGCTGTTTCAACCACAAAAACCAGTCAGAGGAGCGGCGAGAAAGGCCTCGGTGAATTCACAGGGGCTGATCTCAGCAGCGCTGACCTTCGTCCACCTTCCAGGTGTTTGCCTTCGTCCCTTCTGCGGTGATTTTAAAGATAAAGTAGACAGAATCAGGACTCTCCTTCAGATGCTTTGTATTTTGCTTTTTGAAACTAAGCACACTTCAGGCAGTGAAGAAATGTGCGTTTTCCATTTTCTCACTGCCTGAAGATCTCTGCATGATGCTCCTGGGGAATGAATTTGGGGGCTTGAGAAAGAAAATTACTAGCTTGTCTCAGCGAGGTGATGATGAGAAGGCTTTCCAGGGAGGCTTTACGAAACTTGTGAATTAAATGGGAAGCGAAGGCAGTTCATTAAAATTGGTGTCACAGAAGTGGCCTGCTGAGGTTCACAGCAGCCGAGCCGCTGGTCTCAGACCTCTCCCCGAGTTAGCGCTGTGCTTCTCCGGGAAATCACCGGAGGGAGCCAGTAATAGCAGACCCCGATGAGGCACATCGGCGGACAGGCAGACTGGGCAGGCTGTGAACGTGGATCTCCAGCGAGATTCACAGACCCTTTTCCTCCTGCGTCTGAATCTCACCAGCCGCGTACTTAGCACGCAAGGCTTGGCCTCCAGGACCAGGAGTTGGGGTACACAAGGCCCTACACCCCCGTGCCGACGACACAGACCCCACTCTTGTTAGCTACGGCCCCGCCACTGAAAAGCGAGGTGTCCTTCTTATTGTCATCACAGAGGTATTCTGAAAAATTTAGAAGACGTGAGCACACACAAACAGCTGTGTGTAAGAGTTAAAAGTGAAACCAGTAGAGGTGGATGAGAAGTTGTCTCAGTATAATTACTTCAGGTTTTCTTCTTAGTGGAAATAAGCATCAGAAAATGCCCGCATCCAATCAGTAGGAAAGGAAAAAAGAACAAGCAACAAAGATACAGCTGTTATCTGATATGCCGTGTATATTTGCAATTATGATACCTTGGAATGTTGCCACAATATGGATTGCTTTGATTAAAAGATGTCAGTTGAATAAAACAGTGCTGTGGGATAATAGTTTTCTGCTGCTAAGTAAATGCTCATGTTTGGTTTTAAACCAGGAAACATTGATCCTGTGACAATACCGTATTACAGTTACTTTCTCATACCGCAGGGTTGATGTGTATTTAATCATCTGGCTCAGGGTGGGTGGGTGCAAGGCTGATGCTCGCTCCCCTGTCCTGCTCACCTCTGCATCCTGAAAGGCAGGAGCTCCGCCCGGCTCCCGCAGGTGCAGCTGCGGCCCCGGAGGGTTTCGTCTCACTGATAGCCAAAACAGAACAGGTTACTTTTTGTTTGTTTGTTTCCTTCAGCAGCTGCCAACTAGGGGAGACAAATCAGATATCTTAACCCGATTTCATTAAGGCTTAGTGCTAACAAGAATGCATAGCCTTTTGTGATTTAGGATGATAAATTAGCATGCATGTTTCTCACATCAACTCGACGGTTTTCCGTGTAATACGAAGAGGCCTGGTTCTTTTTATGAACTGGCTGCCTGCATTCCCATCTGTCTTTTGTATTTTATTTATTTTTTAATTTTTATTATTTTTTTTGCGGTACGCGGGCCTCTCACTGTTGTGGCCTCTCCCGTTGCGGAGCACAGGCTCAGCGGCCATGGCTCACGGGCCCAGCCGCTCCGCAGCATGTGGGATCCTCCCGGACCTGGGCACGAACCCGTGTCCCCTGCATCGGCAGGCAGACTCTCAACCACTGCGCCACCAGGGAAGCCCTGTCTTTTGTATTTTAGAAGTAACTTAAATTCGGCTGTTAACCTCTAGTGCAGCATTCATTTAAAAATACTTCTTTCCCCTTGATAATTTTCTTTGGATTCAAAGGTCAGAGTTTACTGTCTGTCCTACTGAGACCATGTGTACAAGAACTGCTTCTTGCTTTTCACCACTCCGTCATTCAGCAAACGTTGATCAATTTACCTTCTCTGTGTCTGATCCTGAATGAGATGCTGGGAAATTACTCAGTGGGAAAGAGTGTGTTTTTGTGTTTTTCATTCGTAAGCAGCCTCAGCAAGGTGACTCACGTTCCTACATAGAAAAACGCAGAATACATTTGGTTCTCCTTTCTTTTGCTAGTGTTTCGTTTTTTTTTAAAGACAGTTTAAAACTGCTGCCATTTGGAACTTCTTCAGGAAACTCAAAACGATCTATTTTTATTTAAATGCTCCCTTCACCTCCTCTCAACATTTTTGAGTCAAGAAGTAGTTTCAGTCACACGTGCTGTTCTTTCCACGCTTTGTATCTCGCTCTTGTCACTCCCTGTCCTGAAAAGAGATCTCTGTGGTTTGTGATCAGGATTTTTATTCTGCCTTCAGTATATGTTAACATTTTGGGAATTGAGTATTTTAAGAGGTGTCTTAGAATGCTTTCGTTTTCATAATTTTTCTTTTATATATTTTAAGTTGTATGCCCTGTTTTGACATGGAATTCATTTAAAAAGCTGGTGTAGGAAAGGACTCTTCACCATCGTACGTGTTGGTTATCTGATATGTAATAAATTCACGGTTTTATGGCTAATTTTCTGTTCTCCGGAGGGAAGGAGGTGTATTTCTGCAGTGGCCCGCTCGAGAGAGCCGTTCACAGCATGTTCTCACATGTTCCGTGTCAGCCTGATGAAGCTTGCCCTGCTGAGGCATGAACTTCTGTACTAGCCATCTCCATATTATGTTCAATAAATTCTGTGCTCTGAATGTGTTTAAAGGATGCTTCAGTGTGCGATTATTTTGAACGGATGGCCTGTGGGCAGTTTAGCTGTGCTTTGGAGAAGACGGCGCAGCCCTCTCTCGCCACTTCTTGGGGACATGGAATCGGTCTAAGTGAGCAATCAGATATTTTGTGCCCCAAAAACAGACTTATGGGATGACTTAGGTCAA